TTTTTTTTTTTCTTCTTTCTTGTACTTGGCATTTAGTTTGTTTTATTTTTTTGCCTGAAATACTTGGCATTTAGTTTTAATGTATTGCTTTTGATGGACAAGTTATCCATTCCCATTATGTGTACTTAGTAGGATATTTCATTAAACTCATGGTTATGAGAAATATAAATAATTATAAAAACTATTGATTTGTTTTCTTTATGTTATTGGCAGCCTTTTTAATTGTGAGAATGTAAATACATTATGTGATTTGTCAATGCAATTGACAAACAGGTAGTGCCATTTGTATTTTAGTTTTGCAATTGACAAACAAAGAATTCTCATTTGCATTCTAATCGTGCAAAGGCTGTGACACCTATTGAACTTATAGGAAAATTCTACAATGGGCGTGGTGTATCCAAGCGCCCAAAATATCAGCCATTGGATGAGTAAGTGGAGATGAGAGTTAAATCCACACCATTGAATGCTGGTAAAAGGGTTGGTGTAGGTAAAAGTGAATAAAATAAAAATTAAATTGAAAAAGAAAAAGAAAACAAGAAAAGAAAAACAGAACAACAGAAAGGGAGAAGGGAAGATTGTGAATTGCTGCTAAGGCAATCCCACCAACGGCACTCTCTCTTTCATCTCCCCCTCTCTTCCCCTACATGTGAATCGCTTGATTCTGGAGATGAATTGAGAAGATCTTAAATCTCGGTGGCTGGGCATTTTGCATGGTTCACAAAAAACCAGTGGAAACGAGTTGATGTTGCTGAAACGTATTTAAGTGGCCATTGCAAAGGTAAAATTAATAGCTTTATTATCCTTATCCACACTTGAGTTCCCAAAGACCAACAATATAACATTTTGCTATATTGATCTGCTCAAAGAAAACCAGCTATTTCTAGTTGGAAATTGAACAAGCATAATGTAATTGACAAACAGTGAGTTGGAAATTGAACAAGCATAATGTAATTGACAAACAGTGAGTTGGAAATTGAACAAGCATAATGTAATTGACAAACAGTGAGTTGGAAATTGAACAAGCATAATGTAATTGACAAACAGTGAGTTGGAAATTGAACAAGCATAATGTAATTGACAAACAGTGAGTTGGAAATTGAACAAGCATAATGTAATTGACAAACAGTGAGTTGGAAATTGAACAAAAATAATACAATTGACAAACAGTTAGTTTGTAATTGAACAAAAAGAATGCAATTGACAAACCGTAAGTTTGAAATTGCAAACGTGCATGCATGCCTTTTTTTAACCCTTTTGGCTTGGTTTTCCACATGATTTCAATTCCCTTTCAAAATAGTTTTGTAACCCCAAAGCTTATGTAACTTGTTTGATGCTATAAACGTATTATATAATGATGTCAAATATGATCGTGTATTGTTGTATGTGAATGTATTGAATGAGTTAATTTGAAAGGAAGTGACCAAAAGATGGAAAGGGCACTGATAGATTGGGTCGCCTAGGAGGAAAAGGAAATAACTCAATTGACAAACAATGCGATGGAAATTGAATAAACATAATGCAATTGACAAACAGTGAGTTCGAAAATTGAACAAGTATAATGCAATTGACAAACTGTCTGTTTGAAATTGCAAACATGCATGCATGCCTATTTTCTTAACGTTTGGCTTCGTTTTCCACAGGATTTCACTTCCCATTTACGATATTACAATAGGAAGGACTTGTATTACACTATTGGACATTTGTGTTCCATTATATTATAAAATCAATTCTTAATCGTGTAATATCGTAATTTACAAAAAAAGGACATGTAGTACAATATTAAGGTAAAGTGGAACATTCGGAAGTTAAATTAGGTCCCTATACTTGTAAACACGGATGTTTACAATATTAAGGTCTCATATTACTCTGTTTTGGACAGCTGTGTTCCATAGAATTGTAAAACCCATCCGTAATCTTGTAATATCGTAATTTACAAGGATAAAGACATCTAGTACAATATTAAGGTAACTAGGGACATTAGGAAAGTAAATTGGGTCCTTATACGTGTAAACACAAATGTTTACATTATTAAGGTATCGTATTACTCGATTTTGGACAGTTATGTTCCATATGATTGTAAAATGCATCCTTAATCTTGTAATATCGAAATTTACAAAGATAAATACATGTAGTACAATATTAGGGTAAATGGGAACATTCGAATGGTAAATTGGGTCCCTATACTTGTAAACTCGGATGTTTACAATACTAAAGTCTTGTATTACTCTTTTATGGATAGCTATGTTCCAGAACATTGTAAAACTTATCCTTAATCTTGTAATATCGTAATTTACAAAGAGAAGGACATCTAGTACAATATTAAGGTAACTAGGGACATTAGGAAAGTAAATTGAGTCCTTATACGTGTAAACACAAACGTTTACTATATTAAGGTCTTGTTTTACTCGGTTTT